GTATCTATATATATATATATATATATATATATATATATATATATATTATTTTTAAAGTTCATCTTTCTAACCAATTAAGAAACAAAGATCAAAGTCTCTATCAATGTAGTCAATTGTCAACAAACAAGAAGAAGATTCCAGAAAAACCTGTGTCGCTATGTGTGGTGGTATTGTACCCAAACAAAAGAATCCATGTAACCTAGCATAGATGTGTGTTCTTGCATGCGTGTTTGAGAGAACTTAGAAATTGCAGAACTATGAAAACTTACAATTGCACCTTAAATGTTGTTCTTCAATAAGTAGCTTGAAATGCACCTTCATGTAGGTGAAGAGCTGCTTCTTGTAAAAAACTGGTTGCTCGTGAAATATATATATTTTTAAAGGAAAAAATTTATATAAGGAATCAACCTTATATTATAGAAGTAAGACATACTTTAAAAGGGATTGTATGCTGAGACCATTTATTTTTGATACAAAGTGGTAACACAATTATTTACAACAATCCGATGTGAAGTTTGATAGCTTGAATATGTCACAAATTTTGAATATTTTTTTTTTTTTTAGAGTTTAAGCTTAGTCAACGGAATAATTGCAGCCACCTAATTTCATATCCAATAGTCAAGATTAATGTCTCACCTTGTGCCAAAGGTAAATGGTATTTTTTATACTTTTCTTATTTTAAAAATCCATCAAAAAGTATTTTTTTATGTTAGAAAAACCCTCCAAGTGATATCTTGACTTCAATATGTATGATTATGAATAAAAGACGGATTGATAAAAATAGTGAATATTGTAACATAATATATGAGTTGTCTATTTTGAAGTGTTTTGAGATCTATTTGCCCGACTTTTCGAGCTTTAAGTTTCATAAGGACTGAAAATAGATGTCCAGGACATCGAAAAAAATTTCCAACAAGAAAACTATATTGTTTAGCAAAGTTTGGTGGTGCGTGTTACTTTGATTGTTTGAGCAAGCCGCACTCTTTTAAAAATCAATGACAAGTATATAATTACATTGAAAGGGGGTTTTACTTACACATCTTTTGCTAATTTTTGACATACAAAGCAATTGGAATGGTTATATTTGGGGGATTCCCCTTCCCCCATTAGAAGAATGTCTTAATTTGTTTTTTTGCCCTCCTTTCTTATTTAATTTTTTATTGGAATTATGGAACCCTAATATGAGAGGGGCTCTGTAATCCATATGGTAAATGGTAATAACTTCATGGCCTTTTAGATCATCACCATCCATCAATGGGTTGGAGGGCGATGGAAGGGATGGACCTAGTCCTACCAAAAGAAATATTTAATTCATCTCTATGTCCAACTCCTCCTCTATTGACATCTTACTAATGTTTGGTTAGAGGGTGATAATCCGCATGTTTAAATGTTGTTGCTATGACCACAAGGCCTTGTTTACCCCATAAAAAGTGACCATAAAGCCTGGATTATATGGGAGAATATACAATGATACCGATAACGTTTTCTTATTTTATTTAAATTTTTTTTTTGAAAGGAGTTTGGCTTTGGTCACACCACTTTTTGCGGCAAAAAAAGGCCTGACCGCTATTTATTTAGGATAATGGGGCACCCCCACTTTCGTTCATAAGATAGGAAATCTAATTCAAATTAGATTTTGTTTCATCTTTATAGTAAATTAAAATAATTTAGATAATATTTAAATTTGATTGTATTTCAAATTTAAATGGGACATCTACATAATATATATTTAAATTTGATTGGTTTTAAATTTTAAATAGGAATTGAATTTGGTAAAAATGAATAAGGTTCATATATTTTCATACAAAAGTTATGTCATCGTATAGTTCTTCTATTTGTCGGAAAATTATAAAACAATACAATCCTATTCAAATGAAGAGATTAATAAATAATCTTATTATAAATTTCCTTCTATAAAAAAAATGTAGTTTGAAGATGTTTAGAGCTCATTATAAGATCTTTATCTATCTCAAGACAAAGATTTCTCTCTCCATCACACGCTATTTTTATTTTCCTCCCATTCTCTTTCTAAATTATTTTTTGGAATGCATGAGATCTCTCTCATACATCACTTTTTTCTCTCTTCACGCCCTTATTTTTATTGTCCTCCCCCTTTCTCACAAAATTTTGGAAGTCACGTACGCCGTCTCTTTAACCATAGGGCCACAGGGAGGCCCGTCACTGTCTCTCTTCCTGTATTGAGCAACAGAGGTTTGTTATATCTGAAGAAAAGAAGAGAGAAGTCTGGCCAGAGAGACATCTATTTTTGAAGAAAATAAGAGAGAAGTCTGGCCAAAGAGACATCAACTCATAATAGATTGAGCTCTAATTTGTTCCTATAGGATTTGCAGAAATCCTAATTGATTTTTTAACTTTTTTAAACCGTCACTATCTCATAATTTTCAGCAACATCTTAAGGTGCAGAATTTTCGGCAACACCTTAAGGAGCAAAATTTCGGCATCATCTTAGAGCAAAAGTGTGTCATTGATCAGGAAATTGGATCTGAGATGTACCAAGTCCTGACAGGATAACTCTAAGCGCTTTTCAGTAAGTCTTTTTCGTAGTTTCAATTTATTTTTAGTATTATTTTTTATTTTTTGTAAATTTTTAAGAACTTATTTGGCGAATAAATTAAGATGGAAGTTAGTCTTAAGGTCTTGGATAGTTTTTTTTTATTTTGGTAATGAAAAATAAAGATCCGACATTGTTATTTTGATTTTCTACCAAAGCTCATGTAAATGGAATGTGGGTATGAAAGTTTTTTGAATTTAATACTTTGAGTTTCACATAGCCACATTTTCAATCATATTTTATAAATTTATATATAATGTATTATATTTACATATATTCATATTAAATCATATCATATTTTATACATTACATTATATATTATACATTTATATATTTATATTTATGTTAGTAATTTATATTTATTATATTATATTGCATTATATATATATATATAATAAATCTATATTATAGTAAATATTAGATTATATATTATAAATACAAATATATTTATTTTATCAATATAGTTGTATTATATATAATATAAAATATAATATTTACTATAATATAGACTAATATAATTATATTATATAATATATAGTCTAATATTTAAATATAATAAATATATATTATAGTAAATATTAGATTATATATTATAAATACAAGATGATGAGCTATATCGGGTAGCCATAAGCTTTGAATTTGAGGATGGAAGCCTTTGAGAAAGGTTAGAATGGCAGTTCTCGCTCCTTGGGAGGTACCGAATATATTTATTTTACAAATATAATTATATTATGCACTATATAATCTAATATTTAAATATAATAAATCTAAATTATAGTAAATATTATATTATATATTATAAATACAAATATATTTATTTTGCTAATATAATTATATTATATAATATAATCTAATATTTAAATAAATATATAACTATATAATATTATAATATATAGCATATTTCAATATAATATTATAATTATATAATAATATATTTGTATTTATTTATCTTATATAATATATAATATAATATATAATATTATAATATTATAATATTATAATATATAGTATAGTTATATATAATATATTCAATTATATATTTGTATTGATCTTACTAATATAATTATATTATTTAATATGTAACCTAATATATATAATAAAAATATATAGTATATTTATATATTTATATTTATGCTATTAGATTATAGTTGTAACTAGTATAATTGTATTATATAATATTTATAATATAATATTTAGATATATATTTGTATTTATCTTAGTGATATAATTATATTATATAATATGTAATCCCATATTTAAATATAATATAAATTATATAATATTATAGTATATAGTATATATATATATTTATGTGTATGTTATTAATTTACATTATATTATATTCTATTATATAATCTACTATATACTAGAATATAGTAAATATAACATATATTATGTTATATATTATATCATATTATACATATCACGTATTAAATACTATTTAAATAAATATAACTATTTATTTTTAGTTATAATATTGTATACAAAATATATTTAAATACCAAACAAGTTACTAATGCATTACACAATGGTTTTTAAGCATGTTAACAAATATCGGGAAAATAAAGTTTGCAAAATATTTTCATGTAAAGTGTGTACATACATAAATATTTTTCCTGCCCTAAAATGCTTTTTGGGTAATTCAGTTGGGAGGACAGGCCCTACCCATTTTTTCAAATAGATTAGGATTTACATTTTAAAATTTTATTAGTGCGTGGTGTTGGTGGTGGGAATGAAACCACAACGTGGTGCCTTTCTCCCCTAAAAAAAATTGATTATCAAATCATACATATGTGAATCGCAATTTTCCAATATCAAATTGCGACCAAGATAATTTGAAAATAAACTGGTTTATAAGATTATCATCTCTTATTTACAAAATAAACGGTCCTATTTGTATAAGGAGTTGAAGCTACGAAAATAATGGTCCTATTTGTATAAGAGGTTATGTTTCTCGACTTGTTGTTAGAGATAGAATTTATTTGCCAAAATAATCTATTTATATTGGGATTTAAGTTTATCATAATCCTATATTTCGTATTAAACTATTGAGTTAATCTACAATATATAGATCCACTTGTATGCATTCTCATGCTTACCATCAAGAAATCTTGAGTTGATTTATCCATATAGTTTAATCTACAATATATAGATCCACTCGTATGCATTCCCATGCTTACAATAAAAAAATCTTGAGTTGATTTATCTTTGTATGGATATTTATTTTGTTCATACACTGAGGTCGTATACATTCTCATGCTTTCCATAAAAAAATCTTGAGTTGATTTATTTATGGATATATATTTTCTTCATACACCGAGGTTTCTAATTTTTGCAATTTGACAGGCGATCTATACCAATGTCACCAAATTACCTAGCTCCCCTCTTATCAAAGTACCTAGCTCCTCTCCTGCCCCTCCAAGACTTACCTCCAAAGCCGACAGTTTTTTTGGATCTAGATAAGACACTGATCAAGTCGTTTAACACACAACCTCCAACCTTTGATTTTAAGGTGCAAGTGCTTCGCCCACCTCGCATGCCAGAAAAAATCTACAAGTTTCAGAGTTTTCTCGGAAGAATGACTTATTATATTAGCAGAAGGCCAGGTATAGATGAGCTATTAAGCTTCCTCCATGGAAAATATGAGATAGTTATTTTCACCGCGTCTACTAAAGAATACGCTGATCCAATAATTGATAAAATTGATAAGTACAGGGTTATCAGTTATAGACTCTATAGAAACTCATGCAAGATAGTAGATGGGAAGTGTATCAAGGATTTGTCTAGAACTGGTCGTAACATAAAAAGACTCATTATAATTGATGACAAGCTGAGCTCTTTTTCTCTGCAAAAAAATAATGGGATTCAAGTGAGTGCATTTGTCGGTGATCCTGGTGATAAAGGACTGCTTCAACTTCTTAAGTTCTTTGAGATTGCTGTAGATTTTGAAGATATGAGAGAGGCCGCTACTTGTTATCTATTTAGTCTTCTGAAGATCTGAGTAGTTTTGAAAGATGTAATATTTAAGTAAATGCTTGTTACCTATTTAGTCTTCTGAAGATCTGAGGAGTTCTGAAGATCTGAGTAGTTTTGAAAGACTTAATATTTAAGTTTTGAAATGCTTGTTACCTATTTAGTCTTCTGAAGATCTGAGTAGTTTTGAAAGACTTGATATTTAAGTTTTGAAAGAAATAATATTTACTTTCTTTTATGTGCAAGAAATTCTGCCTGAAAAACCTGTTTGTACTCTCACATAAAGTTATACAATCTCTCCCTTTCTCTCTGTAACTAATTAAGTTCATGACGACTTATTACAATTATAATTGAATATATTACACAATACTTGTCTATATTATGTCACAAAGCAACCAATTGTATACTCCTGATATTAGAAAATGGAGATCAATCGACTTTTTTTACAAATTTTTCCATGAAAGACTTAATAATAGATATATAAGCACGTTTAGCCATGAGATACATTTACACCGCCATCTGGTTAGTGCAACTAGAAGGCAAGTTCTTCATTAAAATCCTTTCTATTTAATATAGGAAAAAGTTAATATTAGAGACGATCAAATTAGAGCGCGCATCAAAAATTTCACTTGAAGAGGTTGTTTTGATGCCTGAATATCCTCAAATTGATCATCTCGACATCAAGATGCATGTAAATGAGAAAGAAATGGATTCTAAGCTTTGAAAATAGTGCATCTTCTAATACATTTTTAGGCCGATAATTTTCAATATTTTCAAGTTTTCATAGATTTGATTATTTTTTAAGCTTGAAATTTTATAATTACAATTGAAAATATATTTTAAGGCTATCACGAAGATTTCTATTATTGAAACCACATTTCTCGTACTATTTGAAGGTGCGCTCTATTTTGATTGTTTAGAGCCTTGGCTCAATACAAACCTCACCCTTCAAAAAGACATGTCTCCACCGGCTGCCAACAGTCTTTCTTTGGAATTCTACTGAATGGCCTCCTGTTTGTTTTAGCAACTCATCCTACGGTCTCCTCACCAAGAGCTCTCCGGCAACGACAGAGGAACCAACCTGTCTGCAATGGCGGGGCGGCTTTTTTGTTTCACAATAAGACCAGGACGATTATCCCTACCCTCAGTAGCTTACGAGTTTACGTCCATCCCTAGATTGTTTAGGGCCTCGGCTCGATACAAACCTCACCCTTCAAAATATATTGTAGAAGTTAAATTGTAGTTACCGTTGCCCAAAAATAGACACCCTATACATAAAAATATTGTGTGGGATAGTAAAATTAACCATTTCACAAGAGCAACTAATGTGTGTGTATATTGACAAACTATTACTTCTATTTTCGGGTAGTCTTTCCTATTGTCATCTTAATTAACACCAACGAGGACAAAGATAAACCTGTTTATTGTACCCTCTCTATCAATCCTAATGAAATTATATTTAATAAATAAAACCAAATCCATCAAATCCAAACTTAACAATGTTGATCTTTTCAACAATTACTTAGGATATATATAATCTTAATCAGCACCTACTTAGATAAAAGATAAACCTATTTATCGTACCCTTTCTCTCAATCCTAATGAAACTATATTTAATAAATAAAGCCAAATCCATCCAATCCAAACTTAGCAATGTTAATCTTTTCAACAATTATTGAGAGAAAGCCATTTTGAGCCCACATATATCTCCAAAATAAATGGAATAAAAATCTAAAAAACCTCTTACTAAATATATATTTTTTTCTTTTAATTTCAAATGATGTCCGTTTCCCTTGATGCACCTAACTGCTAAATCTTGACACGAATGTTAATTATCTAAAACAAAGTACGTCATGTAAATTAATAAAAGGGCCATGCCCATTACACAGATTCATATTCACAAATTAGTTAGATAGAGAAGGCTATTCTCAAATTAGTCCGATAGAGAATCTATTGCTCTAAAGGCTATTTACAGGTTGGTCAGAGAGAGACGCCATTGTTCTTTTGTGAAGCTTACTTTTGAGGTAAGTTGTTCCGGTTAAAACCCATATTTTTTTTTTTTTTGTATTACACTTCTTTCTCTCTCATGGTTGGAAACTTGTAAGGGTATAGTCTTCCTTTGTTTAGTATCATCAATGGAATTGATTTTTTTTTTTCACGAATATGTTTACCTGTGTTCTGTTTCTTTGTTTTTGCATTACTCCGGTCTTCTTAATTAACTAGCCCCCCTTTAGTTTCATGCATGGGTTCTTTAATGAAAGGGAATTCTTTCTTATGAGTCTCAACCACTTCATTTTTAGCTGATTTTCATTCTAATTTTTTATGAAGTAGCTGATTTTCTTTTTTTTATTGTTGTAATCAATTCTCAAGCTCAAAGCTACAGCAATGGTGTTTTGGCTCCATAACTACCGTCCTCTGCAACACGACTTCTTTTCTTCTCCTTAAAAAACCGTTAAAAATAAAGAAACACAAAAGCTCATCTAAAACCATTAAAAAGTAAATGAAACACAAAAAGATCATCAATAGAATAGAGAATAAAATCCACTGTAGAAAAAATAAACCATAAAAGACACTCAACAAAGAGTAATAAAACAGTAAGAGGAGTGAAAATTCTCCATGTAAGCTTTCTTGGGTGGCCCTGGAAACTCTCTTCAAAGACAAAAAAGGAGATAAAACGACGAAAAAGATCTTTCTCTTCTTTTTTTTTTCTTTTTTTCTTTTTTTTAAAAAAAAAACACAGCCAAAACAGAAAAACTATAAAAATTTAAGGGTTCTATTTTTTGGTTAGATTATCAATACACGTATATCCTCAACTCCTGGATAATAGGGATACAAATCTAGAGATGTTGATCGAATATTTTTTTTAAAAATTCAATTAGTTGATGTCCGATTAGGATATAGGTTGAGAGAGAGAGATTTTCAATACACGTATATCCTAAACTCCAGGATAATAGGGATAAAAATCTAGAAAGCTTATCGAATATTCATTTTTTTAAAATTCAATTGGTTGATGTCTTTTTTTGGGTAATTAAATGTTAGTAGGTTGGTGTAATTGGTTGATGTCTTATTAGCATATAGGGCTATTCCCTGAAGAATCTTAATCGAATGTTAATCAAGATTAGGTAGGTTAAATATGGGAGATAGATAATGAGAGCTGTTGATACATGCTCTAACCTATTCTATGTTTATCTTTATCCATCTATTAATGGCACTATACCTTATCTAATAACCAAAACCAACTCTTATCTCATGAAACTCGTAAGGACAATTTATATACTTAGCTTTGTAGACCAATTTTCGTTTCATTTTCAATTCTTCAACAAGAGTTTATTGAGATCTCTTCTTCCCTTGGCTTCATTGTTCATTTCAACCAAAGATTTTGTAAACTCAGGTATGTTATGTGCTCTTCTTCTACGTTTATTTTCATTCTTTTTGGGTAAATGTCTATCTAGTGGAAGAAAATGCGACCATGAAATTCTAAGGTCACGTTTGGTCAGTGCTTGAAACACTTTTGCAAACTTTCTTTTTACCATTTAAAAAGCATTGTGTAATTACTTTCTTTTACCACTGTGTAATGAATTACATATGCTCACTTATTTGGTATTTAAATATATTATGTAAATATATTAAATCTATACATGAAATATTTAAATATTATAACTAAAAATATATAGTTATTATTTAAATTCTATTTAAATATTATTAAAATGTGTATACATTAAACATAAAATATTTTATAATATATGTAATATAATAAATATCTATTACATAAAAATATATATTATATAAAATATTATATATAAAACATAGAATATTATATAGTATATATTATATTATAAATATCTATTACATAAATATAATAATATAATATATATATATATAAGTCTAGGCTCTAAACAATCAAATTAGAGCCTACCTCAAAACTCTCACTAGAGGTTGTTTTGATGCCCAACCACATCAAGATACATGGACATTAAAAAAAAAATGGATTTCAAGTTTTATAAATAGTGCATCTTGTAACGTATGTTTGAACTGTCACTTTCAATATTTTCAATTTTTCATAGATCTATTCGATCTACACTATTTTTTAAGCTTATAATATGTTTTCTATTTTTTGTGCAAGTTCGACTCTTTTTGGTCATTTTTACCTCCAAATTACTTTCATTTTCGGAAAAGCAATGTCGGATCAAGTTTATTTTTTCCAGTGAATGGTTAGTTTGGACATCAGATGTCTGCACCCATTTTAAACCTGCAGGTGTGTTCTTGCATCCTTCACCCATAATTATAATAGTAAACAGTTGTGTTTTTGCATCCAATGTCTAAATCCACCCATTTATAATTTTTTTAACAAGAGCTGGTCGCGCTCATTGTATTTTTCTAAATGAACGATACGTTCAGAAATCCAAAATGCTAACCCATCCCCCACCCTAAAAAAATAGAAAAATGTGGTATTACCTTATGACCCATACTTCAAGCCATATTACTTACTTTTTTTAATGGATAGTATGGTCACTGGATAGGGCAACAACTAATTGGAAATATACATGGAGTTTTTTATTCCTAATTGGACGAGGATGTGTAATTGACTTGAAATATGTGATACACTTTGAGCTATTGGATTTCATATATGATAGTTAGAAATGCTTGTAGCTTCTTTATACCAAAAATGATTATAGTAAACAGTCTCTTTGAATATTAGTTAAAGCATGCAGTCAGTATGGAGCCTGGGCTCTAAACAATTAAATTAGAGCAAACTTTCAAATAGTGTTGAGAAATGTAGTTTCAATTCTGAAAATATTTGTGACAGCCTTAAAATATATTTTCATTTTTATTTATAAAGTTTAAAGCTTAAAAAATAGTGTATATTGATAGATCTATGAAAACTTGAAAATCTTTAAAATTGACGGTCCAAAAATGCTTTACAAAATCACTATTTCCAAAACTTGAAATTCATTTTTTTCTCATGTCCATGCAACTTGATATCGAGATGAACAATTTGAGGATATTTAGGCATAAAAACAATCTTTT